TTGCCCCTTTATATAGTACCAGCTAGTCATAGAATAGATGCGAGAGATCTCCACCAGATTAGCACGTAGAGGGTCTGTCCTCTCGTGTAATGTAATACTCCTCCCAATTATAGTTATACGCTTTCGTGCGTCCGTGGTTTTCTCCCGCAAGGATTTTCACGTAAAAATTCGTGTCTCTCTGTCTCATTTATTTCTCGTTATTATCTAACAAGTGGTATACAGAGCCAAGTTCGCAGATACGAATTTGAGACGAGAGATTAGGGTTACTGCGCCGCCGCGCGCGTTCGGGCGATCCGTCGAATCCGACTCGAGATTCTGCAGCCGCACGTCACCGAGTCCGACAGGCGTTCCAATCGGTACGTGCACATCTGGATTGGCGCTACTTTACCAGCTGATCGAGTTAGAGCGGCGTCACAACTTCCGACGCAAAGATTGATCGTACTAGTAGTACGAGTTGGAGGCAGCCAACCACAGTACTACTTCTCACGTCCACGTGAAGAGATCAATTTGTTTTTCCTGCTGCTTCACGTCAGGCCTACCGCAGCTACTGCTGCTACTTTCTCTGGCGTGAAGACCGATCAAGTCCACAAGCTGCTCCTCAATCGTGATGTGAAGACAGTACTACTAGTACTCACGGTTCTCAAGATCTGATTAATCTAGTAGCCTTGCTACTTCACGTGAAGGTTAAGATCTGCTACTAGCCTACTACTTCTTCACGTGAGACCGAAGAAATTTGCCAGATCAAGTTTTTCGTTCTTCGGTAAATTCGTCTGCTACGTTCACTGCCTGAAGCTGCCAGGTGCTATCTCTCTGGTTCTTTGCCCCGCAAATTTATTCTGTCAAAAATATTTCTTTTATCGGCTTGTATTACTTTGTGAACACATACTTAATCTACTCATGGCATCCATGAAGTACGATGTTCCGCTGCTGAATCGTAACACAAGGTTTATCCTATGGCAAGCCGAGATGTGAGCGTTGTTTGCGCAAGCCAATTATCAGGATGCACTCAATTTTTCTTCAAGGTGGAGTTTTGGGGATTATGGCCTGTCGGGATAATGGATGAAATATTGTTGCAGTTATTTGAAGAACACAATTCAGTTTCAAGAAAAAAAAGGGTATGGAGGAGGTAATTATTAAGCCTGTTGGTAGCCAGCATATACTATTCTCTCCATAGTATTTTGCTGTTATGCATGTGAAGGTTTTGTTTGATATTCATGTTCGTGATGAGAATCAGTTGACATGCAAGAAGGAGATTGATTTGTTTCTGCGAGATACTACAACATTTAGCGCTGTTAAGTTTCAAGTGCAATTCAGTTGTCTTTGCTCTTTCAAGAGGGGTCTATTGCAGAGTTGAAACTCCGCTGCATGTTAAGATGGTTCCTTTATCCGACAGTTGTTCTACAAGGACAGTTTATGACCATGTCATGGATTTTCATTAACCACTACAAGTCGGCAGTTTTTGGGTGCACGCGATGCCATCCGTACCATATGCTCTTGCATGAGTATTGTTTGCCGAGGTTTGTGTTTTCTGTTTTGAAGCACGTTCAGATTCCATGAGATGAGTTCTTCACAATGTGATGTGCACCAAGATGTTGCACTATGAGCTATGCGCTCGTTCAGGCACCACAGGAGATATGATGACTTATGTCATTTGATGATTGAGCAGTTTCAGTTTTTGAAGTCAGTGGCACAGACTCAGACTTTTATTGGGAGACCAAGTTTTGTTAGTCTGCTTTGTTGATAGTTGTGCTGTTTTCTGGACGACCTATTGATTGATTTGCTCAATATGACTTCATGAGAAGTTTATTAGTCCTATGGACGTTTTCAGGCACAAGGTTTACTTGTGATGACTTTAATTGAGGAGTTGATGCTATCTATGATTATTGTAAGGGATTTCGTCTCAAGGTGGAGTGTTATTTTATTGTGTTCCGAATCCCATACAAGTATTGTACTATGGATGGAGTCCTACCGGACTACAGCATGCCAACCGTGCTAGACGTAGCATGACTAGAACTCTGTTTCGTGTCCGCCAAGAAAGAGAGTTGTTTGCCCCTTTATATAGTACCAGCTAGTCATAGAATAGATGAGAGAGATCTCCACCAGATTAGCACGTAGATGGTTTGTCCTCTCGTGTAATGTAATACTCCTCCCAATTATAGTGATACGCCTCCGTGCGTCCGTGGTTTTCTCTCGCAAGGGTTTCCACATAAAAATCCGTGTCTCTCTGTCTCATTTATTTCTCGTTATTATTTAACAATTGCTCTGAAGTTGTAATGTGTCATGTGTAGCAGAGCATGTTGTAGATCTAATTCGAATTCTTCTTTTTCTAAAACTTAATTCGTAGCCTTCTCTTCACAAAGATTGAATGTATACAGTGTGTTTTAATGGTTTACATTGGTGAAAGGCTCAAAAGCACTAGAAATGTTTTAATGGTTTAATGGTGTACATTGGTATTATCATAACACAAATAAAATGCTACTCCCTCCGTCCCATAATTTAAGATGTCAAGGAGTATAATTTAATTCGTGTTTGATTAATCAGATTAAACTATATTTATTTTATTTTTGGAGTTCTTTTTAGATTTGAGTAGTCTTGGAATTTTATCAATTCACAAATTGACATACTGAGAAACTGATAATAAGTGATCGCTCGTGGGAATAATCAGCGCTTTTGAACATTGTTGTATGGGTCTTCTGTGCTAACATAATCGGTGCGCCTGATGTAATATAGATACAACATGTATTTGACATTTCACGAAAACTCAAATCCAAATCCAGTCCAGAATTCTAGAAACCAAAAGAACAAAGGCAAGGCTGGCAGTGTTAATGGGCAAAATGAATACTCCAACTTTGTTTCTTGGAGCTGCGGGTAAAATTTTGATTTGTATTTTTGTAGAAATGAATACGCATTGGATGTGTTCTCGTACAAACTATGTCAGCTACACTGCCTGCCTTTTCTTATTCTTTTGGATAAAGAAATATATTAATATAAAAATTAATATAAAAAAGAAAGATACCAGTTTACATCCAATTTATCCATTAACATGGTCTCAAGAGCTTCTTAGGATACCAAGGATGCACACAATCAAATTATTAAAATAGAAAAAAAGCGAACAACAACAATGTAACACCCCAGGTTTTCACTCGGATTGGCAAGTGTCCCTAAACTGATACTCCCTCCATTCCAAAATATAGTGCGCCCGCGCTTTCCGAGGTCGAACTTTGACCATAAATTTAACGAACAAGACCGACTGCGGCGGGAGAAAAAGTTACATAATTAAAAACTTATTTCGAATATGAATTCACTGATATAACTTTTGCTCCCGCCGCAATCGGTCTTGATAGTTAAATTTACGGTCAAAATTGAAGCATGGGGATAGAGGAAGCACTACATTGTGGAATGGAGGGAGTACTCGCCAAGTGGTGGGAGCTTGCTTGAATTCTTGTATTTTAACCTCTGCCTTCTATAAAGCCATGTCACACAATTTGCATGCTCTAAAAAACATCATCGCATAGGAGATCCCTTCAGACCACATCCGCCTCTCCCCTCCATTTTTCTCCATGACTAACTCAAATCATAATATTGACGAATCATTATTCCTTGATAAGAAGCCAATCGTCACTGGTAACAAGTTATCAATGACAAATTATTAGCGACGAGTTGCTTGCTTTTCAGTAATGAACGTTTTGGGCCCGTCACTGATAAGCGATTCTGCAATAGTGATACTCACACAACGCCAATTGAAGAACCGAGTTAGGTACTTCAAGATTAAGAAAGTCACCATATGTGCCTAGACGATTGGCGAGATTGCCGCCTTCCGTTGAAAAATATTTAGGTTCAGTTAGATACAAGTGGCTTTAGACATAATGTTTGATTCCCTATGAGATGGGATATAATAGTGACTTTTGTCCTTCAAGCTACATGTAGCTTCTCGATAGAAACACACATAACATTAGAGTAAATTAAAGATATGTCAAATAGCACAAAAAACAGCCCTAAATAGGTCCTACTACAAGCTAAGTGACACAAGCATCCGAAGAATGCAAGGTGCTTAGGCATGTGCTTGAAAAATAAACCATTTTTTCCCTTTCGGAGACACCTCTGTAAATACCTTGCATTGTGCGAACTGAGCGTAACTCAGTTGGTTAGGTTCCTTGTGGTTGGACCAACCCACCAGGGTTCAAGTCCTAGACTTGGCATTGGTGGTCATATTTTTCTGGATTTATTTTAGTTCTTCTGGTGATGTGCGTCCACGAAGGGGTCTGCGGCGACTTTATCAATCTGAAGATAATGTGCCGGCTTAAAGGTTCTCGCAGGGGTAGGGTGTGCATGCGTGCGTTCATATGAATAAGTGTATGTGCATATGTACGAGCGTCTGCATTTATACCGTGTTAAAAAAATACTTTGCATTGTACAAAGGCTAATATAACTCAGAAGTCAGAACCAGGAAGTTACAACATGGAAATTATAAAAGAGAGAACCTACTTAATCGCTTACCCTTACTATTGAGTCCCTACCAAAGTGAACTTTGTAGTCCTAGTTTATAATCTGTGTCACAGTCTGGATCGAGTACTTGACCGATGCCTACGTGCTTGAATGCGAGCGAACGAGTTACAGAGTGAGTGTAACTGGGTACAGCAGCAGTGGTAGTAGTATATGCCAGTGCTAATTCTTCTTGCGCGCACTGCATAAATACCGTGGGCAAAAACGTGTACGAGCGTCTGTTCATGGCACGGCATAGATGAACGATAGTGCATCACTCACAGGCGGCCATAGCTAGCGTTTGTTACCGTCACTTGATTCATACATTTAACGGCGCCGTTTGACCAACCATGCGGGCCGCGCGACGGCCCTGGTCGACTGAAGCACAGCAGCGGTACAACTCGGCCACTTTCTGTATCCTTGAGCAGCCATCTGTTACGGATGGGACGGACAGGGACAAACCAGAGGACATGCCACACGCCACACTACTAACAACACATGGAATGACGACAGCTGGCTTAGCAGATCTCCGACGTGGCTTCTGGCCGGAAGCCCTCGCTGAGCAGCGCCGCCATCACCCACAGCTTCACCGTGCGATCGCTGATCATCACCTCCTCCCTTGCTTCACTAACCTGCACACACGCACGCACGGCGATACCACATCAGTAAAACTAAGTATTACTACTCGTTTGGAGCTCTGGAATTCCATGCACAGAGAGAGCACCACAGTTTCTAGAGGAATCAATCGAGAGAAAATTCCCATGCAAGTACTCCCTCCGTTCCAAATTACTCTTTTCTTTTTTGCGGGTGACCGTTTCAAATTATTCGTCGTGGTTTTAATTCAAATACTTTCTCCGTCTAAAATTACTTGTCACATAAATGAATAATGATTATTTGACGAGCGTCGTTGCTTGCAACTAAGGAGTAGTACCTTGAGTGTGAGGGTTGACACGACGCGGTCCGACGAGCAGCCGAGGTTGGAGCTCTCCACCAGGAAGCCGGCCAGGGACTCGACGGCCGCGCAGAGAGGCGCCGCCACGCCGTCCCGCCGCTCGCACTCCACCGTCACGAAGAAGCGGCCCTCGCCCACCTGGGCCGCGCTCACTAGCGTCACCCGCGCGCCGCCGCCCCCTCTGGAGCTGCCGCTGTTCCCCTCGTCGTCGCCGCCGTTGCGGCCGTGCTGCCCCTGCCGCCGGCCCTGCTTCTGCTGCTGCTGCTGCTGCTGCCGCCGGCCGGCCAATCCCGGCCGCGCCTCGAGCGTCGCCACGTCCTCCTTGAGCTTCCTGGCGTGCGACTGCAGGTTCTTGACGTACGCCACTGCGTCGGCGATGATGGAGGCCTTGTCCATCTGCACGTACGTACAGAGGAAAGTGACGCGCGCTCCCAGTAAGAATTGGTGCCTACTCCACAAACTGTTTCTATCGACCACGACACGAGAGGATACAAATTGCAAGTCCAGTAGGAACTACTAGTACTAACCTTTGTGATGTTTGGGACGAGAGCCCTGAGCTCGTATAGCTTCTCCTTCATCCGGAACCTCCTCTTGCGCTCCGACACGATGGTCTTGGAGCGGTCCCTCCTCTTCCTCGTCCCCGACAGGTCGCTGTCGTCGCGGCTAGGCTCGAAGCCCGCGCCTTGCTCCCCGGAGACAGGGCTGATCACGTCGTCGTAGCTGCAGGGGTGGTCGTCCGGGGACGCGCCCTCGCATTCCTGCCGCCATTCCTGGTCAGCAGCAGCGCCCACCATGTCGTTGTCGTCCCCGGCGCCGCCGCCGCCACCTCCACCGCCGAACAGCTCGTCGCCGAGATGCATGAGGTCCTCCATCCAGGCGCCATCGTCGACGACCGCGGCGGCCGGCTGCACCGCGAAGCCGCCGTCGTCGCCGTGGAAGTGCATCGGGTCAACGTCGAAGAAGCCCGGGCCGATCATGAGGTGCTCTTGGTGTGGCGACAAATGCAGCAGCCGCTGGTGGTGCTCCATTACCGATTCGATTCGGTACGGCCGGTGGTGGGTTATCTTGGTAAAGTGATTGAGGCAAGGCGTCGCGGGAGCTCCGGTGGGTGCCGCGCTTTTTATATGTAGCCCTCGCAGCCTTTTGAATGTGGAAGGAATCTTGTTTGGATCCAGTTTGTGCTGCGCCCTATATGGAATTAACAGCGGAGGGGAAGAAGATGGTACAGCAGGGATTGGAGGGGGTTGGATTAATTACTCCACTGGGTTGTTTATGCCGTCGACAGCCAGCCAGCGGTTTGACACGAAGCAGCTAACCGTATACTACTACAAAATGTTGTTAAACAGGCATGAACTGAGCACCTCCCCATGGATCGATTAGATGCACATAGATTAGATTAGGGTGACACTTGAATAATTCTCTTTTAATCAAGGTTAACTGCTACTAGTGCATGGGAAACGATACTAGTAGACCGCTACCTAGGTCTATCTGAATGGCCACCTACAAATCTAAAGTTGTGTAGACTGTAAGTTGTCTTTAGCTGGGTTGATTCTTGTTTAAACATGGATATGTACCTGTGCCCGTTAATTATTGGTTCACAAAGAGCATCTACAACCAGGATTGACAAATTGCGCCTCTCAAACGCCCGCGGACTCTCCAGCCACGTCTGCTTGTAGTGCACGAACAATTGTAATTTTGTCCTTCCCATAGTCACGGACCTCAAATATCCTACGCCTTTTTCATACAAACACATGCAAATTACGTACTCCCTCCGTTTCCAAATACTTGTCTTTCTAGGCATTTTAAATGGACTCAACATACGGATGTATGTAGTCATATTTTAAAGTGTAGATTCACTCATTTTGCGCCGTATGTAGTCACTTGTTGAAATCTCTAGAAAGACAAGTATTTAGGAACGGAGGGAGTAGATCATACAGGATAACATAGAACATAGCGTTTTGGTCATCAGACATCCACAAAATTCATCCAAAAGTGTCGACGAAGTTCAAATTCAACCTAAAACATAAAACAACCACAAATATTAACATAGCAGTGCAGGGCGGCCGGAATTCAGCACTTCCTAGCCGGGCCATTTCCCTTGCGGTCGGCGCGCGGCGGTCCATCTCCTCCGTGTAGGCGTCTGCGGCGGGAGGATCGTCGTCGTCGTTGTTCGTGGTGGTGCCACTCTCCTCTAACAAGGAGATGTAGCTGGAGAGGCAGCGGAGGAGGCGCTACCGCTCCTTCGTGTGTCGGGCCGCCTTCGCCTTGGCTGAGTCCTTCCTCGCGAGGCGCTCGGACGCCTCGATGTCGAGGCGGAGCGCCTTCGCGTTCTTGCGCCAGAGGAGTAGCGCGTTGGTCTTCGCTATGGCCAATGAGCACCGCATGACCTTGCAGAGGAGGGCCTCCTTCGGGTCAAGGGGGACGAACCATGCGCGTTGGCGCGAAGAGTTAGGCTCCGCCATCGCCGCCCGCTACCGCTCGCGTTGGGCCGCCTTCGCCTCCGACTCCGGCATACGCATGCACACAAGAACCGCGGGCACGAACGCTACACGGGCGGTGTAGCCACCGGAGGGGAAGGGGACACGCCCGCCCTGTTTCGAATCTGGAGCGGCGCGGAGCAGGCTGGACGGGAGCGGGACGGGCTGTCGCCGCCCGCATTACGCAGGTGGGACACGGAGGAGTCGACGGATGTGACAGAGCTCATGCTTTCTCTGTTTTCGATGCGCGACCGGTCGATGGCGATGCGGAGCGTGAGCTCCTCATCATCTGGCGCGTAGCTGCTAGATCTGACGTCCTCCTCCTTGACGAGGCCATCCCAGTCTATGGGGTCCCGCTCGCTGCCGGAGTTGGCCATGGCGGAGAGGAGGGAATGAAGTTGGGAGGGAGCAAAGAGGACCAATTGACTCAAAGGAGTGAGGGGTTTGACTAGGGTTCGTCCGGCCGGCTACGGTTTTTGTGGGGACATCGGTTGGGGCGCCTCGGGCCCTAGCAGGCCGATCCTAAGTGGCGGCTGCGTCTGGGCGTCCCCGTATCCGCTCCGTATATGGGCCGGATTTGGGGCTCCCGGTTGGGTGCCTTTTTGCATGTGATCACTGATCGGGCAGTCTGTCTGGGTGTTTGGGGTGGATTTGAGGGTTGTAGATAGTGTGAACGTTGAGAATTGCCCAAACAGTTTTTTGAACATAGTCCAGACGTAAGCGCTCATATACACGCGCATACACTCATCCCTATGAATGCACGCACGCACACCCCACCCCTATGAGCACCTCAGAAAGACTGAGTCGAATATCATCTTGAAATTTACGAAGTCAACGTAGGCACCTCGTCGTCGACTGGAACATCCACAGTCCCTCTAACCATCCAACCACAGGTTGATTCACAATTACCCAAACAGTTATATATATTATCCCAGCCAGCTTTTTCTATGGAATTACCCCACCCAACTTGTAACTCAATGATTACATATTTGATCCTCTGTTTGGTCCAAGTTGGGACATGGGCTGACCATAAGGTAATATAAATAGAATGCCATTCACTTCTACAACAAACAACCCTATAAATATGATAGTGTAATACTTGCGTGTGTTCATAAGTGTAAATATTCTTACCTGCATATTTAGGTAGGAGCAACAGTCAAAACTACATGTCCTAAAAGAGCTTAGGGTTCCTCTACCTTCCATCGGCGATGGTGGCGGTGCCAGTCCATCTCGTCTCCAATGCCTCTTGAGCCATGGAGACGTGGTGGATCCTGGCCCTTGCCAGCGAAAGGGCTCCATTTAGATGTTTTTTTCCTGAGTTTTGATAGGATTTGTGTCCGATTCAGGAAGACGAGACGACGACGACTCCCTGAAGATGGAATAAGATTCTTCCCGTCAAGTCCCCGTCTTGGCGGTGCATCTAGTATCTTTGGAGGCCATGTGGAGGTGTGTCTCCGTTGATTCTCATGGGATTCAGTTGGTAGTTTTCTACGGTGGATCTACCTGGATCCTTTTTTGTTTGTCTACGTTCATGTGTCCTCAAGTCGGATCCTTTCGATATACGCGTCTCTTCATCGGCGATAATTGTTGCTCTGGTGCGTAGGTCCTACTGGGTCTTAGCACGACGACTTTTCTGACTGTTTAATACAACAAGTTTTACCCGGTTCCGGCAAGGGATGGACAATGCGCGCCTTCGACTCGCTTCAGTGCTTGTAGTCGTCGCTAGGTGGTCTAGGAATCTAGATGTAATTTTGTTTATCTCTGGTGTTCGTTGTGCTGCTTTATGATTGAAGATGAATAAATTGAAAGTTTTCTTAAAAGAAAACTTCATACTTTTCGCCGGCAAAAAAAAAACCCTACATACTTTCCGGGACAGAACCGTCATGTGTTTCTCAATGGGGATGCCTGCCCCTGCCTGCCTCTCGTTGCCGGTCAGTCAGGGCGGTACATGTTTGTGTACTGGATGTACCATCAAGTTTGGGACAAAGCGACAAACCATGTTCAACCAAATTTTTTGTTGATATCCGTTGCAACCAAAATTTCAACATTTTCATATTAAAAAAACAAAAATTCAAGCAGGAGTACAGTTCCGACTCTCAATTGTACTAGTTTTAAAGTAATTAATTCACACCATGTTCCATATTTGTCTCTTTCTAAAGCATTCAAACGCCATTTCACGTGGCAGCTTGGCGGCTACAGTAAATCACGCAGAAATGAAATCCGCAAACATTTCTGATTATATATGCGAATCTTACAAGGATTGGAGGATCTCCAAATCAATTTTATTTAAGAATTAATTAACGGCACGATGTGTGTGAAATCTGACAGGTGGTGTGCAGATAAGGTTGTCTGGAATCCACCACCATGAGGATTTGCTAGTGCAGCGTGACTAATTATCTCGCGCATTCGGTTCTGGTTCATTGCTCGCTGAGTGGTTCTGATCCGAAGTGGTCGTCAAAGTGACACACACAGAGGCGGCTCCGGTCGACGAAAGCGGTCTGGTCACTTTGGACGAACCATCGACCCAAATATCACCTGGTTTTTCCTAGAGCGCTTGCTGGATCACCCAATCGCCCACCGAATGGGATTCATCCATCCAATTCACACAACACTTCGCTCGATTGATTCTTGGTTATCTTATCTTAAGTACTGAGGACCAAGAAGAAACAGTAAGAACTTTCCGAAAGCCTGGCAAGTGGCTGTGAATTGTGTAAAGCCATAAAAGGAAACAAAATGGTTGACCTGTTATCATCCAAAATTTCAAATGTTATCATCTTGTATTCCTCGCGCTAAATCTAATTTTTTTTATGCTATCTTGTTGGCTGACCAGCTTTCTGCACCAAGAGCACCTCGAGTGAGAGTGGCATGACTGGCGTGCAGAAGCGCTTGCTCCATATGGGTAGCTCTACCGGTTGCTCCCAATACATTTTGTGTTACCTAACACACCCATCCACCCACGTACGTCTTCCACTGTGCACAAATTTTTTTGAAACTAAAAAGTATGAAGTACAGCTGCAGGTTTAGCCAATGCCCTCGTGCCATACTCGTCACGAATACATAGCCTGAACATCTTCTTTGGTCTGATGACCTTGTGATCTTTTCCAAAAAGTAGAGACCCAACTGCCTCCCCAAAACTAGGGTTCTTTGCCTTCCACCGGCGCCGGTGCCGGTCCGTCCCGTCTCCGGTGGCCTTAGGGCCATGGAGGCGGAGTGGATCTCGGCCCATGCCGGTGGGAGGGTTCCGCTTTCATATTTTTTTTCGAGCTTTGTTAGGGTTTATGTCCTGTTCAGGAAGGCGAGACGGCGGCGGCTCCCTGAAGATGGAATAAAGGTCTCCCCGTCTAGTCCCCGTTCCGGTGATGTGTGTAGCATCATCGGTGGGCGTGTGGAGGTGTGTCTCCGGCGGATCTGTCTTTGGTGGATTTGCTCGGATCTGTTAGTCGTTCGTCTTCGTTCGTGTGTCTTCAGGTTGGATCCTTTTGATCTATACTCTACATCTGCGGCGGTTGCTGTTCTGGTGCGTTGGTTCCATGGGGCCTTAGCACGACGAC